TGAGAAAACCCGTTTTTTCTATTTTATAGTAGAGGTTACGCCCCCTAGCGGCCATTTTATGAAATTGAAAATAATTTCCAGCTTTTTCTCTTGAATGATTTACCTATAAACACGGTTCCTGAGATATGGCCGTCGTCCTTTATAAATGGGCCATCCGGTATAGGTATGGCCAGATGTGATGATATTGCCGGTATTGGCTCATGTCCGTTTCATAATTAAAATACTTAGTTTGGCATTTCTAATCCAATTCCCGCAACAGCCTTCCGAATCTTCCCTATAAATTTACCATACCTTGACATTTATGCAAATGATTGTGCTCGGCTGTAATTCGTTGCGAAGAGATTGAGTAACCGCAATTATTCGAATACATTGTGCAACGCTTTCCGGTCGAAATGTGAGATATCGTCTTCCGTTGAACGTTTCAAGGTTAACATGACATCGGTCGCAATCGATAATCTGTGAGAAATTCGTCTGGTGTAACCGTTTTGGCGCAATTTCATCCATTCGGGACTTTCGAACTCATACGCAGAAATTCTCCTTCGTCCGCTGCCTGACTCACGCGTGACCTTTACTTCCGGTCATTTTCCGGGAACGCGCGTCACGTGAGAACACGTTCAGTATTTTAATTTGAGATTGAACTTATTTGTCACTTTTACCTAATTCAGAATGGTTTTTTAGTGGTGTACAAAGTATGGAACCTTTTAAATATCATGAGAATATATGTTCTTGCCAATTATAAATAAATAAAATTAAAGTATACTTCGACCAGACATATAGTGTTTTTACAACCGACCCCGACGGTTTATTACTCCAAAATCGCAGCCCTTACCCGTAACCATTCCAGGACCGCCCTAGGAATTTATCTACCTACACTAATAAGCGGGACATAAGTATTTTTTCAATTTTTCTCGCTGAGCAATTCTTGAAACGTCCACATAAAAAATTAGTACAAAGTAACAATTTATTACGTTCTATTTCACTAAATTTCTACAAATTATCATTATTAATATACAAGATATTAAATATAATAATAATAAAGTATCCGTCACTAAAAAAAAGTAAGCAACGACTCTGTAGTACTACAGTACTTTTTTTACTTTTTTATGCAGTTCTTCTAGGATTAAACACACGCCTAATTAGATCTGCGTGTTGGTCTTTAAAAACTGGCGAAGTACCAGCATCTTCTCTCACTTTCCTCTTGACTATCGCATTTGCAACAATATTTCTTATAGTTGACTTCGGAACTTTGGTCATGTCACTTGATTTCATTAATGCTCCTACTTCCCCTTCTGAATTTCTTATAAAATAGTAAATATTCAAAACAATTTGTTTAACATCCGAAGGCAAATGGATCCGTTTTTTATTTACTGAGGTAGTTCGTCTTCTAAATTGTCATTAGGTTCGACTACCATCTCCACTTCCAGGTGAACATCTGCTTCATTCAACGGTCTCCACATTTTAAAGCATTAAACAAAGGAACCTTCAAAAAATGTAATTCCCGATCATTAATATTTTTTTTATTTTCAAAAATGTTAAATGTTAATTGTTATTTAAATTATATGCAACAAGTGCGGTAAACGGCACTTGATTTACGAGTTTATTTGACACGAGCGGAACGCAGCGGAGCGAGTTTTTAATAAACGAGTGACTTAAAAAGTTTACCGAACGTGTTGCATACTATACTTTTTCTATGACTGTTAGTTTTTCGGTATATTTTCGCAAAACAACACTAATACCTTCACTGACGTGATCGTCAGAATTGACAAACCTCAAAATTCAAAGCGTGGGAAATATCTCCGAAACTATCCGATTGCTCCCAAACCCGTGCGGTTTTTGCGAAAATGTACTCAAAAACTAACGATTTCTTCATATGCGGTTGACTAAAAATGCGGATTTAAGTTTGAGAAAGAAAGTGACGCTTTTTCTGTATATTTTTTATGTCGAGTTCTAGCTTACTAGGATACCACGCCTGTGAGTCTGAATTTTTTATAAAATATTTTTATGACGTCTACTTAATCCAATAATAGTATATTAAGCAACAAGTGCGGTAAACGGCATTTGACTCATGAGTTTATTTGACACGAGCGGAGCGCAGCGGAGCGAGTTTTTATAAACGAGTCAGTTAAAAACTTTACCGAACGTGTTGCATGATATAACTTTTCTACGATCGTTAGTTTTTGGGTACATTTTCGCAAAACAACACAAATGCATTCACTGACATGACCGTCCGAATTGACAAACGTCAAAATTCAAAACGTGGGAAACATCTCCGAAATCATCCGATTGCTCCCAAATCCCGGAAATATCCGAAGTGGCGCGGATTCATGGGTATTGTACAGACGGGAGTAAAAAAAGATCTTTATTACTATTATTGTTATATTGGATTAGTATTAATGACTGAAATGAGCACGTCCGAGAAACTGACCTATAATACCTTTTTTCCTTATTATAATTATGTTCGATTTCTTAACACTAACTATGGAATTCAGGAAATTCAGTGTGGTGTTAGTAAAAAAACGATTTTTCACATCAAAAAAGAAGCGGAACAGAACAATGCGGAATTTAAAAATCCTACTCCAGGAAAAAAGCGGGAAAGTCAGTCAAATCCTCGCAGTTATGAGTGTGACAAATTGTTCGTAACGTTTTTTTTTGTCAAAAATATTCCGGCAACATTAATTGCAATTTAAAAAATTATTCGAGAAGAAAATGATTCGACAAATTTTTCTCTAAGTACCTTGTGTAGATTCACGAAAAATATTAACATTGAAATCTTAGAGAAGACGAAGTTAAAGAAGATCACTAGAAGACGGAATTTTTGTCCAATAAAACAGAATAAATCGATTAATATGCAACTTAAAATCCCTAGAACTAAAAAAAGTTTAATTCTGACAGGTATTTATTTACTTAAACTGTTAATACATAAAAATTAAGACGACTTTCAAACCAGACCTGATATTCATTCTTACTGTAACTTTAATTGCATTTTATAAAATTATTTGAGGAAATAAAACATTTGCCAAGTTTTTCTTACTTTAGGTAGATTAATGGAAGATATTAATATTGAAATCTTCCTTAGATATTCCTTCAATCTTAAATGCATACAACTCGTCTCTTACAATATCACAAGTTGGAGATCACTAGACTCAGACCGAATTTTTGATTTTCTCATGTGGTGACAAAACCATAACACACCTTGTACAGATCATTATGCTCCGTCCTCCATGTTTCAGTGTAGGAACTTGGTACTTTGTGGTACTGTAAGCAGGGAAAATTTGCTTTCATCACTTCAAAGAACGGTATTTTATTTTTCACTTGAACGTTGTTAAGAAAAAAATTTGGGTTCCAATGCGAGGTGTGATAATAAAGAGCAAAATGCTTGGTACAATGAAAAACAATGTGCAAAGTTGTCGTTTGGAAGAAAGAAACGCGTTTTTTAGGAGCCTAATTTTAACGAAAATGTTTGAACTTCTATTCGTGACATAAATTTTATCCAAAGACAAAATAAGTATTGCAATTTTAATGTCACTTGTTTGGCACTATTTTACAAGGAATTTATGTCCCGTTTATCAACAGTACCCGCGTTTGATAGGTTTATTTCCCATTGTTATTAACTTAATTGATGTTTCCAATTAACGAAAATAATCAGTCTTGATCAAGGCTGGAATTGTATTTATTACTTTAGAACAATATAAATGTTCCGGTCATTTTTGTTTTGCGTTCTTGGCATTCCTTTATTACTGGGCGTTAAAGAATAATTGAAAATTTGATGAAAACATCAACATTGTTGTAAATATTCCTATCTTAGCCATAACATATATTCTTAAAAATTTAAATAACTGCCACAATATGTGGTTAATATGTGGAAAGTTCAGCATTGATAATTTACCATTAGAGGAAAGTAGACTAATATCTCAGACTTTTTTGTTTTATTACTACTATTTACTTGCTAAAGCTTCTTCTTCTTGACGTGCCATCTCCATCAGTGGAGGTTGGATATGACAGTGGCAAATCTCTCTCTGTCTTCAGCAGATCTTATGAGCTCTTCGAAGTCCATGCCAGTCAACTGACGTATATTCGTCAGCTATGACAGTTTCTTCTGACCCAGCCCCCGCTTGCTTTCGATCTGTCCCTTGACGATGAGCTGTGCGTATCGGTATTTGTCGTTTCTCAGGATGTGACCCGGGTATGCAGTCTTACGGACTTTCACAAGCTTGAATAGTTCTCTCGTTCAGTTCCCAGCCTGCGCAAAACTTCTTCGTTCGTGGTATGCGATGTCCATGGTATTTTAAGTATTCTGCGATATGTCCACATCTCGAAAGCTTCTAGTTTATTAATGGTTTGTGTTTTTAGTGTCCATGTTTCGACTCCGTACAAGAGAGTAGACCACACATAACATTTTGAGAGTCAAACGCAGCTCGAGGTTGATTCGTGAGTCGCATAGGAGCTTTCTGAATCGTACAAAAGAGTTTCTGGATTGTTCTATTCTCGATCTTATTTCTGTGTCTGGATCTAATTTGTTATCTATCCAGCATCCCAAGTATTGAAACCTGCCCACTTCTTCTAGTATCTTTCCATTTATTTGTATTGGTTGTGGGACATTCTTTGATTTTTTAATTACCATCACCTTAGTTTTCGTTTATTTTCATATCGAACTCTTCGCAGGTATTGCTAACGCGGTCGAGGAGTCGCTGCAAACCCACATCCGAGTCGGCGATTAGAATAGTATCGTCAGCGTATCTAATGCTGTTTATCTTCACGCCATTAACTTTGACTCCCTCTGAGATGTCTGCCAGGGCTCTGTCAAATATAAATTCTGAATAAAGGTTAAACAGTAAAGGGGACAAGACGCAGCCCTGTCTAACTCCCCTGCCAATCCCGATTTGCTCGGACTTGGACTCTATTCTGATTCTAGCGCTCTGGTTCCAATATAGGTTCTGTATTAGAGTATTGTCCTTTTCATCCAGGCCCACGCCACGAAGCGACTCCATAAGCAGATCGTGTCAAACTCTATCGAATGCTTTTTCGAAGTCTATGAAGCAGATGAAGATGTCTCGTTGTTGATCATAGCATTTTTGCGCTAGCACCAGTAGGCTAAACAAAGCCTCTCTCGTGCCCATTTCGCTCCTGAAGCCGAATTGGTCATCTGCAATGTTCGCTTCGCATTTACTAGAGATGCGGTTATGAATTATTTTCAGTAGGACTTTTAACGCATGACTCATTAAACTAATTAGGCGAAAGTCTCCGCAGTCTTTGGGGTTTGTTTTCTTTGCCAATGGTATGAAAATTGATTCTAACCATTCTTGAGGTATTTTGCCAGTTTCATAAATGCGGTTATAGAGAGCGACAAGCAGGTCGATGTTTTCTTCGCTTATTAGCTTTAAGATTTCGGGTAATATTTCGTCTGGCCCTGGGCTCTTGTTTGCCTTGAGTTGTTTTATCGCGTACTCTACTTCGGTTTTCAGAATACTTGGTTCTTCCGCGTTCATGTCCGTCTGGTAGGGCTCTGCTCTGGCGATTACGAACAGATTCTTGAAGTATTTTTCCCTCTGTGGAGTCTAATAATTTTCCATCCGAGCTTAATATGTTGTGGACTGCAGTTTTTCTGTTCGTCGCTGTAAAATCTTTCACTTTCTTATGTAGGTTGAAATGGTCATAGCGTCCTTGCAATTCCTCTATTTCCGAGCATCTGTCTTCTATCCAATGTTCCTTAGCACTTTTTATTTTGGTGCGGATTATTCTGTTAAGATGTCTGTACTTATTTATGTCATTAGCGGCTTTACATTCCCTCCGTGAGTCCATCAGATTTAAGATTTCCCCTGTCATCCACTCTCTCCTATTTCTTTTAGGAGTTGGTTTCAGATTTGCTTCAACCGACCCATTTAAGATGTCTTTTATAGCTTTCCACGTGCTATCCACATCAGTGGTAAGGGCAAGGTCCCGAGAGGCGTTTGCGAGGTGCTCGTTTAGTTCTTGACTTACTTTTTGTTTTATTGTGACGTCCATCAGAAGTCCCACATCTGGCTTTCCTGGAGGTTTTGGCCTTTTAATGATTTTCCATTTTGGTCTCACTCTAGCTATAACAGGGCTGTGATCTGAGCCAATGTCGGCTCCCGAATAGGTTTTGACGTTAGTAACTGAGTTGTGGAATCTTTTGTTTATAATAATAAAATCGATCTGGTTTCGGACTGTCCTGGTATTTGTATGTTGTGGTGACGTCCATGTGTAAAGTCTACGAGGGTGATGTTTGAACCAGGTATTTGTTACAGCCATGTTGTGTTGTTGGCAAAATTCAATGAGCCTTTCGCCCCTGTCATTTCTGTCGCCCAACCCAAACTCGCCAACCAAATCCGACACTCGCCCTTGGCCTATCTTCGCATTAAAATCTCCCATGATGACTGTAAGATCTTGTTTCTTAGTAACTTTTATTAACTCCTCCAATTTTGTGTACCACGCCTCAAGCTCATCTGTGGACTTATCGGCTGTGGGAGCATACGTCTGTATTATATTTATGTTCATTGGTTTTCCCGAAAGCTGAATTAGCAGATTTCTGTCAGAGACTGGTAGAAAGTTAGTAACCGCCTGACTGTATCCTTTTCCCAAAATTACTCGTACTCCATTGTGGTGTTTGGAGTCATTGTTACCGGAGTAGTAAAGTATTTTATTCATTGCTCTGGTTATTCCTGAGCCTGGCCATCTAACCTCGCTCAAGCCGAGTATTTGGATGCCCAGTCTACCCATTTCGTGACATGCATTTGCAATTTTTCCTGTTTCAAACAGAGTTCTCACATTCCATGTCCCTATCTTAAATTACATCTGTAAGGTTTTCAGCGTAGTCAACCCGGGGATTCTTCGCAACCCTTGGACATTTAAGTCCTGCCGAGGACTAGGGGCCATTAAATTTTGTTGTATTGCCATTGTGATTTTCTTGGGAAAGAAACACCAGAGTGGTTTCCCGTTGCCTTCTCTGGTTTTATATCAGCCGCTCCTAACATGGAGAACAGACGCCGTCTGCAGCCGCCCACTCTGGGTCAGACGCTGCGGTTTCACCATATCTGGCTACGCTCACTTGGTTTAGCCTGTGGGTCAACACAGTGTACCGGGGTGTGGCGCTTGGAGCCAACAAGTGAGAGTTGGGTGCCTCTTGAGGGCCAGTTATCTGAGGCCTCCGCCCTTCTACGAAGCTTGGAGTGGCCGCCCCAAACAAAAGGTACTACCTCTCCGACACACCTCTCTACACCCCCTAAAGCTTCTACATTTACTTAAAAAACTTATTATTGTACAAAACAAAAGGAGCAAAAGGATATAGCAAGCGAAAAAAAATGTGACTGATAAAAACCTATTCGCAAATAAACGATGTTTCGTCCTCTAAAAAAATAAAGTGTTTCCTTCAGTTTCTTCAGTTTCACTAGAAGATCTTGAAACTCGTTTAATCTTTTTCTGATTTTCCTTTTCCTTAATAATTATTATTGCTTTCTGCTTAACCTGTATTTTTATCTCTTGGCAGTGGCACCCTTTTGCAAATTTTACAAGGTTTTGTGCTTGAGATGGATGAGCTATTTATCAAAGGTGTTATGGTCACAGTATTTTTTGATATCTGCATCCTTTTTTCATAAAGCTCAAGGTACGTTACAATCGCTCTCTTTTTCTCGAGGTACAATTCTCAATTTCTATCTCATGTGGTTAAAGCGATGTTGATATTCTATCTATCACGCTGGGAGTGAATAGCAAAATCATGGTCTTCATCATTATTTAATATTTAATACGCATTTTGGGCAACTGCTTGATAATATCGAACAAATGCAATGCGAAAATTGTAATCTTACCGCACATGAGGTCACAAACTTTTTCGAAAGAAAAGAAAAGTTTATTTCAACGGTTTATATATAAATTAAGAACCTGCAATTTAAACATAAAACATTAATTATTCTTATCTGTGACACTAAAATAGGAATATGAAAATTTTGACAGTGCACATTTTAATTCACTGCAAACTAGATTTAGAATTTGTAGGGATCAGTAAATTTTGCAGAAATCGTTGGCTTAATTGTGCTCTCGATTGCCATAGAAGTGACGTTGCTTTAAGAAATGTAATAATATCCAGTATAAGGCACCCATGCAATATTAGGCTATTTTCACCATAACATTTTTCTACTCCCTTCTGGAAAATTATACACCCATCTAGCGTGCGGGAAGCATCACTTTACCACGTGGGTTTCGGATGTTTTCGGAAATTTTGTCGCACGGCCTCAATTTTGACGTTTGTCAATTCTGACATTCATGTTGCAATTTTTAAGTCACCACAAATGATCATATGATAGATTTTGAATTTCATTTTCTCAAGCGGTAGTTCCAGATTTCCCTTGCATTCTTTCATTTGCACAGAAGTAGGATCATTTCGTTATACAAAAGATCAGTTTTAAAGCTTCTCTTGGATGAGTCAACCAAAAACCTGTAGCCCTCAGAATTGGAGTCTGTACCAAGTTTCTTTATTAAATTAGGAATACAGGTGCAATAAACAAGTGAAACACAAAATAGTCTTTTTTTAATGCATTAAGATCAACATCACTAACGGTATCTTTATCAATATCAGGTTCAGAAAAACTAATGATATCTTCTTCTAAATTGGCTGGATTCAGCTATACAATATTTTTCAAATTTTCGGTATTAGTATTTATTTGTTATTATGATTTGTTGACTCTCTCCATATCATAGGTCTTCCAAAAGGTTATGATCGCCTGCTTCCATTGCTAAAATGTCTTTCTTCACATATTTTGCAAACGATATGTTGCGCCCAAAATTTTTTTTTGATCACCAATTTTCCCTTTAAAATAACGGTGTATAGTTTTTTAAACAGGTATGCAATATTACACACACCACAAAAAACCACACACATAGTAAAACGTATCTGGCACTTTGAAAAAAAATGTAAATGTGCGCTAACTTCACGAAACGAGTGCCTACAAAAAAGAGCAATTACACGAGAAATGGGCTTTCTTCAAGACATTACAGAAACTATATTTTACTTTCGGGGTTTTTCCGCTAATATTCTGTTAATTTATCGAAAATGTATGCCAGTGCAGTAAATGTATAGAAGGTTATCTCAAAAATTAATTAAAAAATGCATTGTTTTTCTATTAGTTTAGTCCCTAACCCCAAAAATATGAAAAACACCAAATCACCAAAGTCTTTGTTGACATGTGTTATTAATTGTATTAAAGTCAGAAAGATCTGCTACAGTGCACACATACTCGAAAAGCCAAAAGTTTACAAGATGGGGCCGAAACTCTTCAGTCCCGTAAAAGAATGTGGAACATTTTTTTTATTTCTTTAGTACATTTGTTTTTATATAGAATTAACGCATACCAAATATCAAAACTCAGAACCCAATATTATTTAAGTTGCAATAAATAATTCAAGTTGTAACACCCGGCTATTTCTTTTAAACGACACCAAAAGCGCCGGAATGAGCATGACGTCATACCGCTGCTTTTCAATGAATACGGCGACATGTTGTAATAAGGTTATAGGCGGATGATTATGTTATTTATGTCTATGTTTGGCTCGTGTAAAGTATGTTTGTATTTAGTGTGCTTTATATAATAATCAGGGAAACAACACAAAATCGATATTACAAATCGTGCTATCGTGTCTGAGTACAACCCGTATAAAACGCCAGATAAACTTTTTATTCGTCTACCAGAAAGTAAAAGCCCTCATTTTTTTAAACATTATGCCCAGATGTCACTTTAGCCTTTACCGTGAAAAAAATTTTAACTCATCGAACTTGCACCCATAATAACTAGAAAACTTTGAACTGAATACAAATAGTGGCTAAATTTTCTATCTTTTCATATCTTTCAGCTTTAAAACCGCGATCCTCAGTAAAAGAAAATCTTTCGGTGCTTTGCATATCCATTAAAAGTAAACTATCAGATTCACCTTTTACAAAATCGGCTTTTATCATTTTCAACACTTTCTTTTTGATACTAAGCGACAGAATCAAGACTAAAATTAAAATTAAAACCATCAAGACGAACTCATTATCGTTCTCTAATGGCTAGCGAATTGACGTCACAACCGGTGACAGCCAATGACAGCACGTTTTAAAGGGGTTTTACATAAGTTCCAATTGCAATATGAAACCCTTCGGCTTACTACATAACACATAGTCATTGCTATCGCCTGCCTTCGTGCTATATCGCGGTATTTTTAATTACGTACGCATTCGCCAGAAGTCAAGAAACAGTCCCTAAGAAAGAAAAAAAAAAGCATTGTCTCATATCTCCGAAACGTTCATTCGAAACTTTTATTAGGTTCCAGTGATCATAAAGTAAGCATATAGATCGCGAAGCACGTTTGATTCCGGTGTATTCGATAAATTGCAGATCTTGGAAAACACGAAAATTGTTCGTATTTCAGTAGAGTTTCGAGGTTACTTGCTAATAATTTGGTGAACGCATCTAATTTTTTTTTTCTATTTTTGTATTACTTCGATGGAAATGTTATCAAAATGTTACAATCAAACTATAGATGACATTAACCCATATTATCCCAAGCATAAAGAAAATAAAAAATACTTTTTTGGTCTGAAATCATTTATTTTGTTGCATTTAAGAATACATTATATGTCAAAAAAAAAAACTCGGAAAAACATTAAATAATGTTTTGGGGCACATAAGATGTAACATATAATTTATACATAAAGTTCAAATTCGACAGGAAACCACTAAAAGTAGATTGTTTTCCAAATAGAACCTGATTTGATACAAAAAAACGCATAATATTTTATGGTGACACCCGGTTTCATTTTTGGTGATATTTTACAAAGCATGAAGTATGTAAATTGCGTGGCTGTGGCAGATTCTACATATCATTCGCGCTTTATTAGCATGAGGTGACGTTGATTATCATATCATTTCTTTAAGTAATTGTTTATCAGTTTTTAAAAGTCGCAAAGCAATGTAAGATGTAAAATCTAATTGGGAAATCTTTTGTTTGTTGCCAATATTATACAATTTCCATGCATTCACTACTAAACTATCCAGTGAGTTACAAAATAAATGGCACCACCGTAATTAGCAATTCCGATGTCATGTAAATCTACCCCACCGATATATCTATTGTATTGGGCAATTACATAAAGTTGGGGTATATTTACAACATTTGATAAAGACACAATGTTGTCGAAACAATTGTCATGTCATAATATATAATTTCGTGAAAATCTAAACTTTTAGTTCTTATTTATTTTGTTAAATCTCAGCATTAATACCCTTAAATTGGTTTAAAACTATCGTTAAGGTGAAAGCGAAGAACTACGGTATAACATTAATATCGTCATCAAATAAAATTAAAACACAGATGAGCGGCAAAAAACCCTCATTTACACAGCTAACGCTATTGCCTATTGCTTAAGTTAAATTGAAAATAAAACTCTGTGAGGGAAATTGTTTGCAGAATTGCATTCCAATCTAAAGTGAATTCGAAGTTTTCGTAGCTGGTGTGGTAAAGAAAATTACGAAGAAACATTAAACTTGATGTTCTTCGATACAAATAAATTATGCCTTAATTGTGTCTTGTATTTCTGTGACTATTTTATGTCTTCCAAAGATCCGGTGGAGGAGCAATTCTTCCGGCAATTTTTGTTTATTTCATAAATTACCGGATATCCCCATTATCCGTACAAGATTTACAGACTTAAAGAGCGTTGATGCATGCTGAATAATAGTAAAAATTAA